TGTGTGTGTGTTTCCGTAGAGAGCGAGAAAGTGTGTGTGTGTGTGTGTGTGTGTGTGAGTGAGTGAGTGAGTGAGTGTGTGTGTGTGTGAGTGAGTGAGTGAGTGTGTGTGTGAGTGTGTGTTTCTAAAAGAGAGCGAGAAAGTGTGTGTGTGTGTGTGTGTGTGTGTGTTTCCAGTAGAGAGCGAGAAAGTGTGTCTGTGTGTGTGTGTGTGTGAGTGAGTGTGTGTGTGTTTCCAGTAGAGAGCGAGAAAGTGTGTGTGTGTGTGTGTGTGAGTGTGTGTGTGTGAGTGTGTGTTTCCAGTAGAGAGCGAGAAAGTGTGTGTGTGTGTGTGTGTGTGAGTGTATGTTTCCAGTAGAGAGCGAGAAAGTATGTGTGTATGTTTAGTGATGTGTGTTTGTAAAATACAGTGTGTGTGTGTGTGTGTGTTGTGTTTCATCATGTTTTTTCATCATAACGTTTTCATTTATTATTTATCATGTGACTGACACACACACACACACACACACACACACACACACACACACACACAGGTCAGGTGTGGCGATGATGGCAGCGGCTTCTCCTCCTCCTCCTCCTCTTCTTCTTCTTCTCCTGTGTGTGTGTGCTGTGTTCGCTGATGTGCCTATAGGAACTCACCCTGAGCAGGTGCACATCTCCTATCCAGGTGAGATGATGATTGACAGCTGTCCGTCACACAGCCGGCTTAGTGCCTTTATTAATCTGGGGTTGCCACAGTGGAGTGAACCGCTAACTATTCCAGCATATGTTTTACACAGCGGATGCTCTTCCTGCTGCAACCCATCACTGAAAACACCCATACACACCCATTCACACACACACCTCATACACTACAGCCAGTCTAGTCTATAGCGCATGTGTTTGGACTGTGGGGGAAACCGGAGCACCCGGAGGAAACCCACACCAACACGGGGAGAACATGCAAACTCCACACAGAAACACCAACTGACCCAACCGGGTCTCGAACCAGCAACCTTCTTGCTGTGAGGCTATCGTGCTACCCACTGCGCCACCGTGCCGCCCATAATTACTCTAATAACACTGAAATATTATTATATGCACAACATTAAAGACGTCATATTTCATGAATATTAAATCAGTAGCAGATTTATTAATGGATTCATTTGCTTAAATATAATAATAATAATAATAATAATAATAATAATTAATGGTAATGTTTGTCCTCAGGTGTGCAGAACTCTATGCTGGTGACCTGGTCAAGCGCTAATAAGACTGACAGTGTGGTTGAATATGGGTTATGGGGAGGAAAACTCTTCAGTCACTCGGCGACGGGAAACAGCAGCATCTTCATTAATGAAGGAGCGGAATACAGAGTCATGTACATCCACCGCGTCCTGCTGACTGATCTGAGACCTGCAGCCTCATACGGTAACACACACACACACACACACAGACACACAACGTTTCAGTGTATCACTGAAGCAGCGCCGCCAACAGGAGTGTGTGTTTGTTTGTGTGTGTGTGTGTGTGTGTGTGTGTGTGTGTGTTTAATCTGAGATGTGTGTGTGTGTGTGTGTGTGATTAATCTGAGTTTGTGTGTGTGTGTGTGTGTGTGTGTGAGTGTTTAATCTGAGGTGTGTGTGTGTGTGTGTGTGTTTAATCTGAGCTGTGTGTGTGTGTTTAATCTGAGGTGTGTGTGTGTGTGTTTAATCTGAGGTGTGTGTGTGTTTAATCTGAGGTGTGTGTTTGTTTATTCTGAGGTGTGAGTGTGTTTAATCTGAGGTGTGTGTGTGTGTGTGTGTGTGTGTGTGTTTCAGTGTATCACTGTGGCAGCGGTGCGGGCTGGAGCGAGCTCTTCTTCTTCACGGCTCTGAATGAGAGTGTGTTCTTCAGCCCCAGGTTTGCTCTGTTTGGAGATCTGGGGAATGAGAACCCGCAGTCTCTGAGCCGCCTGCAGAAGGAGACGCAGATCGGCACGTATGACGTCATTCTGCACATCGGTGAGACTCACACACATACTTACTCACACACACACACTCAGACATATATACTACTGTGTATAATTGGAGCATACATTACAGCATCTGACTGTCTCCACAGGGGATTTCGCTTATGACTTGTATGAGGTAAGAAACAAACACACACACACCTTCTTATACACACTCATGCTCACTCACACACACACACACACACATACAGTCATTGTGTAATAATAATGTATCAATAGTAATAATTAGTAACAATGTAGCAATTTTCACAAGAGGGCGGAGCTACAGACGGCTGTGCATGAGCATAGTGTCAGATGTAAAACAGCAGTGTGTGTTTTGTGAGTGCTGGTCAGGTGTGCGTGTGTTTCAGTGTGAGTGTGTGTTCATGCTTCTGTCAGTCTATGTCGCTCCTGTCGCTGTTCATCATCACCTCCACATCTATAATCCTCTTAGTCTATGCTGACATCATCTTCAGCAGCTCAAACACTCTAATGGCGAATGGACAGACGTCTGTTGTCCCCTCAAGCCGATTGAGTTGGGTCACCCCAGGGTTTTCCCAGTCGCCACGTTGTAACACCACGCCCAGTTAATTGTAACACCTCTCACTATAGCGCGCATTCGCGCTCTGTCCCCGGAGCTCCCACTAATGATCATTAAGCACCGCACACGCTCATCAACACATCACACACATCCCCCGCACACACACACACACACACACACTACTGGGGTTAAACCCCAAATAAAAGCCTTTTTTTTTTGTGTGTGCATGTGTGTGTGCGTGTGTGTGTGTTCTGCTGATCTGCGTCATGTTTTGATGAGCGTCTGCTGTTCTTCATGATCATTATTACACACAGACCGGTCCGTGTAAGTGTTTCTGCTTGTTCTGCTGTCAGACTCTGTCCATCATCTGAAAAACCACACCAGCAATATTCCCCGAATCACTGCTCTGAGATCAGTCACGGTTATGTAAGAGAGGACTGTGCAGCTGATTTCTCTTGTGTTTTAATTGAATATACTGATGTTTCTGTGTATTTCGTTAAGGATAACGGGCGTATCGGTGATGAGTTCATGAAGCAGATTCAGTCCATCGCTGCTTATGTGCCGTACATGACCTGTCCTGGGAACCACGAGTGGGCTTTGTGAGTCTGTTTAACCCTCTCTAAAGCTGATCTCAGAACAGTCCGACTGCACACACTGTAATGTCCTGCTCAGGGCAGAATCAGAGTTCAGTCTGTGTTGAATTGTCTAGTCTCTGTCAGGAACACATCATTCT